CTCCAAACCCTCTCCGCTTGAATCAGTGACAAGACAGATTTGAGATGACTGAGCAGGACTCAGGCGTAAGCCACTTTCTCCAATGTAGGCCTGAAACACTGCAAAACTTAGTCTTAAGTGACAGTTGCCTTTTGCGCTGGTACTACTGCGCTACCTACCCTCACTCACCCTCAACAGGTGCTGTACACCAAATTAGTGTTACCTAGATTGCGCACCACTGCCTGCTTGGGACGGCGCTTTGAGAGGCTGTATCTGCAGTCGGATGTGTTTCAGTTCAGAAGGGGTACAAAGGCATTTTATGACTCTTCAATAGAACACCACATATATAACTATTACAGACTGATCGGATTCGTCATCAGAAATACATATGATCGACAGACTAATAAATTTTCATTTGACTGAGGTAAGCTAATTTGCACATTCAAAATAAGGTCGAAACACATTCGTCAGTCTCAGATGACCTCGCGGATCGATACTGAAGATGAGATTTGCGGCCATGCGTTTATGAGGGCTCGGCTACCGATTATGACATCCAAACTCAAAAAAATAAGACCCACAAATTGGTTTGTTATCGTGTGAAATGTTGACTGAAATTCTGACATGTTTTGTCGGTTGGAAAATAATACTTCAGCTGGATTGTAATATTCATTATCCCGCAACATAATCTTCAGTTATTTCAAGCACGTCAGGATGCTGGCGTTTAGATGAGCTTCTTTCCTGCTGCCTGTGTAAACAGCAATTGTAAAAATGGACCGTTTAAGTAGTATGAACCTTCCCACCAGATTTTTGGTGCTCCTATATGTAAAAATGTATTGCACCGAAAACTTACACGAAAATATTCCTTCTGGTACTCATTTGGTAGCAACTTGCACCTTCTTTAAATTTGACACTTGAAGAGAGAGTAGCTTTTGCTCTTAAATAACTTTTTGCATTGACAAATAATTTTCAACGCTTTTTGTTGTTGCACACGCATTCTGGGTTTTCAACCCAAAAGCTGAATATTTTCGGTGTGGGGAAAATCATGCATTACAGTGAGTTAAGAAGAAGGTGGACGAACAGCGGAACGATGTGCTCGGGTTCTTCTGAGATTGTGAACTCTGTAGGAGATCATCAGCTGAACCACTGCCTCTGCGTATTTGACATGTTGCGGTATCATCGCCGGCTAAACGAAGAGGAAGCTTGAAGGTACTGTGAGCAGTTCTGCCGCCAGGGAGCAACGTCGCTGCAACACCAGCCGATGCAACAGCTAAAACAATTTTGCCGT